TCAGATGAATTTCAAACCAAAGTCTCTAATTTGGAGAAGACATTAATAATTTAAAACCTTCAAATTGCATAGGAATACTAATTGGTGTAATACAGTTTAATCCTTTTGGACATTCTTACTTCACTTACGTCCGCACAGGAAAATTAGGATAATTTCGTAAATGTCTTCCTGTATTTTTAAACTTAACCATTCGATATTCACTTCAATGCGATAAGATTTATTTTGGTTTTTAGGACTCAACAACACGATCACTTTTTCAGACAAACAATTTTGTGCAAGAGCCATAACGAAAAGTCAATTAGAAGTCAGCGATAGTTACATAATTCATCCTTTCTGACATATACTGACAAGCTAATTGTTGAAATGTCAGCGTGCGTTTAGCGACATTTGAACCACACAGAAAGTTTGGACAACACGAAAGTGAGAGTTTCTCGACCAATAGCTGACACCAACTCTAACTCCCTTTAAACTCTCCAAACTTTCAAAGTGCCTCATATCTTTATAGAAAGAACAACAAATACATAAACTATTTTTTTTACATCTTCAATGCAGTAGATTTTACGTGATATAAAAAGGAAGCACTTTGATACACTTCAATGCCAACGTAAGTCATTAACATCCTAAAATAGAGTTAGCAGCACCCCCGCGCAAAGGAGTTTGATTACACCATTTCACAAGCTGTGTTAATCCCTCCCTAAGCCCTGATAGTAATATTAATATTATCCACCCCCTTTGTGCCTGATTCAAGGATGCAACTGTAAGGAGAAATTAAAAGCCAATCACTCTAATGGGTTAAGGGGTTAAAGCTAGCTACCGAATGAAAGTTTCTCTTACAACACTTTCTATTGTGTTAATCATCTTCATTTGGACTTTCAATGAACCCACGACAAAGAGCCCACATAACGAGCTCTATGATTGGTTAAAAGAGAGAGGTCTTTATTAAAGAATATAAACACGTTTGGTTGAAAGACGGTGAACCAAGCTCTGTCTAAGAGTTCGAGTTATGACTGAGACTATTCGTTACCTAGTTGTCAATGATGATAATTATGATAAAAATTTATGATAATAATTTATTGATTCATTTTGCACAATTATCAATGCAATATTTTCAATTGCGCGTTATTGTGTTAAAAATTAAACTATACCTAAACATTAAACCTAAAAGTTAAAAAAAAATCGAATGTCCAAGGTGAATAAACGTGAAATGCAACACGAATGGAACACAGAAGATCATTCCACAGTTAAAGGGCGGCAGCATGAAGGGAACAATCGCCGAACATAGCGAATGATTTACCCTTTCAAAGCTGAGAGCAAGGCTTAAACTATCATTAGAGGGTAGAATGTCTCTACCATGAATAAGGCCGCTTAATTAGACCGGGTAAGACCATTGATGAATTATCGTTTGGAGATGAATTAATTGTCGCATTTCGTACTTCACTTTTTCACAAGGGGAATTTGTGTGACCCAAGAAAAGTCGAGGGCTCGCTTAAGATTACTTACATGTAGCTCAAGCGCCGGTACGAGTAATGTTAGATATGAGTGATTGGTTGATATATTTTTTTACTAGTTAAGCTCTCTCTTCCAGCTGTCCATATTTCTCTTCTTTACAAGAAAACTGGCCAACGTCGACAAATTTTGTGTTGACGTCTTGCAAGGCTATGTTTTCATGGCAACAGTGGGCTTAAACGCTTGGAACAAGTTACTTTACAATTGAGAAATTGCTTTTTCAACCGAACTATTTCACTCTTAATTGTTTTTGGGCATTCGCATCCCACAGACTTGTCATTATGACTTAATTGTTTCTACGTCTTGTTTCATCCCGGTCAATTATATTTCTTTCATTGGTTACCATGGTTGCAACCACAATCTACGTAAACAAAGCAGCATGGGGTGGTTGGGCAATCGGGTGTCATTATCTTTTCGCCAAAGGAAACAAAAAGTAGATCTATTTTTACTAAGTAGTTAAGAAAACGAAGACTTTGCTAAGGAAATACTTGAAACTTTCATTCCGCTCTTGCTTAGATTCTGCTCGCTAATTCAGGGTTGATAAGTGGAAGAAACAGCTAAAAACAGGTGAAGACATGGGCCATTTTCGGAATTGTTGGATTAGAGGCACGATTTTGGATACCAAGAAAGGTTCGTGTAAACCGTTCACGTTTTTTTACTGCCCTGCCTTTATAAGATATCTTGTCATGGTAAAGCAAACACACTGAACTTTTATTAGTAGTATCTAAAAAATTATTTAGTATGCAATTTAATGTTTCATCGATTCGTTACGCAAGACAGGAAAACGATTGCTGAAGGGAAAACGTTCTGCTTATCTCTATGTGTAGGTCTACCTCTGTCGCTAATCGTCAAGATATGGATTTTTATCGCTTTTTCATCGACGGCAAATGGAAATACATCTTCGGGTAGGTATTAAAAGCTTAAAATCCACCACATTGGAGGAAAATCCGCATTTCATTTAAACTGTAGTCCCAAAGGGAGTCTTCATTTGTCACTTGCGATTCATTCCTTTCTAGCACCTTCAATGCGGAAACTTGTACTCTGAAAAGCCTTCGCCAAAGGATTGATGCTTTTTTTATGATTTATCGAGATTTTATTTTTGAAAATTAAAGCAGCTGCTTTACTGGCATATTCATTAACAAGTTATTTTAGGGATATATGTTTAGCGTTCTGAAAAGAAGTTTGTTTGAACTTTTTCATTTTTAATTTCAACGGATTAGACCAATTCGTTTGTGTTTGTTAAACTAGAACCTTCCCTAAAATTTATTCATTCTTTGAAATCTGTCATATCGTCGCAGGGAGGCACTTTCAGTGTTTTTTTTATTAGTATAATTACACAACATTCCAAAAAGGGCTGCAAGGAAAATTCAATGTAACGCTTGAGTTAATTAGCCTAAAAAAATGCACAATTATGCACAAAAAATCCTTTTAAAGATAGACTTGATCAATTTCTTACAATCGTTCGTTTATTTGAATGATTTTCTACAGTTATGATGCCTTCGCCTTTTACAAAACCCTTCTTTTAGAATTCACCATTTCGCTCATACTTAAGGGAATAAAAAAGGTGTTAAAAGAAATTGGCGAGATGGTTTCCTTTCATACAATGATGTTTAAAATCAGTGAAGCAGATGCTTGGTTCGTGACCAGAATTTCATCACGGATCATTTCATGTTATGTTCAGAGCACAAATTTTATTACGCAAGCGACAATCTTAGTTTTTGTGTCATCCTTTGTGAATAAAATTCCAGAATTATTCAAAAGTCCGATATGACATGTAAAATTATTCAAAATTGCTTAAAATGGCTTCAAATCAATTTTAAAAGTCAAAGTTTGGCTGATTCTCTCTTCTGTTTGCATAGTCTCAATTAAATTCTGGCAAAACATCTTAACTACCCTAGCAACGCCAAAGTTTATCAAGAAAACTTGAAGCAGAATTTTTAATGAATATGGATCGCATATCAATAAATAATGCGCAGGAAACTTTAGCGAGAGGCAAACGTAATGTTACAATGAAAAGCGCTCTAGTTTAAACTAAATCCGCTAGTTTCTTATATGTAGGACTGCCATAAAATAATTACTAGAAATATAGGAGATATCGGCATTGATCAAAGTCATTTTACGACCTATACGTCCCGTTTTAGACATGTGGATTTAGAACGCAACCTGAGAATGAATCACTGAAGGGTTTACTAAGAAAACGGTTCTGAACTGTCACCCAACTCAATACTACCACCTTGAAATTGTGAGCGTTTACCTTAGTTTATTGCAAAAATTTCTAAAGAAAAGATTTCTTTGCCCTTAGTTTCAACACACTCAATAAAAGCTCATGGGTAGTACCAATTAAAACCGACGAGGAGAAATTCAAATCCGTTACTAGACTGTAAATAACGGCTTCTTCGCGCAATAAACAAAAAAATAAGATGAATTTGATACTTTGCCATATTGAAATTGAAACTTGGATGATGAGAGCTTGTGCAATAAATTGGCTTTTATTAACTCCCAAGCAATAACGAAAGACAAGAAATACCAGCTGTGATTACACTTTGTGTTGACATAATTCCAATTTTAAGGAAAACTGTTACTGACGAACAGTGTGCTATGAAACCTAGTTCTCTCGAGTACCGGATTAATTTCAAAGATGCATCGCCCTTGAATCGCGTACCATCAAGTATGCAGTGTTTGCCCGGGCGAGTAATCGGTTCCTGTCGAAAAATTATTTCCATTTTTACTGCACTGTGGTAACTTCTCTATTTTCCGCTTTTATTTGGCTGAGATGATGACCATTCTTAGACTTCTTACGCCTTTGTTGATGTTTCGGAACTGAACAAAGACACAGCGGCAAGGCTTATTAGATGGTGCAAATTTTGAATATGCATACGAGTAGTATTTTAATAAGAACCTTACCAAAGCGAACTTATCACGTAACTTTGATGCCTCACATGGAAAAGCGCTGTGCTGGCTCTAGCTTCATTTTCTCACGAAAACGAGCAAAACTATAAAGCGAATTATTAAGAACGAACTGTAATGCATACGGTAAAATAAAAATTGTTTCGAATAAAAATTTGTTTCAGAGCATATGAATTTTTAACGCGTTTGAATGAGTTAGTAGGAGGCTTCAATTGAATCTCACATGGAAATAGAAAACATCCAAGATAATCCGTTTTGCAGGTGGTTAGCACAGCAACCCGGCTCATAAGCAAATCATCTCCAAAAAGAGACTCCCAATTGGTACCTATATAAAATGACAAAACAGAACGTAAATAAACCTGAGTGTTCAAGTGGCCGCTTATTGAAAGACCCACCGCCTCAAAGGGCACGAAAAGCTAATTTTTGTTGGCTATTTCTCAATCAAGATCGAGGTTTTGAGAGATTTTAAATTTACAAAAAATAAAGATCTCACACAAAAAAGAGCAGTATGGGCTGGTGCTTGAGATAAGACTCTCACTATCATTCCACAAAGTTATCGCGGGACTTTCGATAAACGAACACATCGAATGTATCGTATATTTTCCCACACTTGTGACAAATTTTCAACGGTTTTTTCGGACAATTATCCTTTCCACAGAGTTATAAGGCACAAGGTCGTAGCTGGCGGTGGGAAAACTTATTCGAGAAAATTATTTTCACGTCTTTTTCTTTGATTACTTATACTATCTCTCGACCTTTGCACGACCAATGACCTCGTTTGCACGAAATTAAAAACCGAAAGGGAAGCAAGTTCCAGGATAATCGTCCCGTTGTAGTTCCTTTTAGTTCTCGTGTCATTGGCAAGCTTCACGCCTCCTTCTTTGAAAATGCTGAACGAGACCTGGGGAGGGTGGCAAACCCCAAGGACAACAGGAATGAACTCCGGTGTTCGCTTCATTGTCCCCCGCCTCGTCCTAATCAAAAATTACAAGTTACCGCCACGAGGCGTATAGCCAACAGTTCCAGACTTCACATAAGAGTAACAATCTGGCCAGGGTTGCTCAAAGCTGGGTGAAGATAACCCAGGGTTAGCGTGAAATTTGAATTCAGGTCTGAAAGTTTGATAAGAAAATTCAGTTCAAATCTTTTTTGTTTTTGCAATTTGATCGTTGAATGTTCTAAAAAGAATAGGGAAATTTTTCCTTTAAAGACTTTTGAATAAAGAAATAAAGAAACGTGGATTAAATTTAACCCCAGGGTAGCGCTAATCAACCTTCGAACAAATAGGCCCAAGAACTCTACCTCAACTGATAAACTTGCCCTTTTTTGCAGTAAGTTACTCCATGTCTGTAGTAAACCATTCTACGGTCACTGAGTCGGTCAGTTGGTCCGTCAATGGGTCGATCAGTGAATCTTACATTGACGTGATGAATGTTACAGCCACAATGTCCCACGTCATGAGCAACTCTGTCCCAGTTTCCTCGTCGCCTATGCTGCCACCACACTGTTACCATGTGTGCAACTGCAATAATTCTGTTGGTGAGTAGTGGAGAAATACAGTTGGAAGACATCCATAGAGGACAAAATCAGTCTTTTCGTCTAATAAATCGACCAAAAAGATTTGCTCTCAGTGACTATTTTATGGAAAATAATCACTAGTAACTTCAAGAGGGACCTTTTGCTTTGGCGAGAGTGTTTTAGGACTCTCTGGAAACTGACATTTCACTGTATTTGGTTTTCAAAACTCTGAAGAACAGAAACATTTACACAAAGCAAGGAACTTGAAATTCATAGAAAACCGTAAACAGACGATGAAAACAAATTGGAGAATCAAACGATATGTAACAAAATTATCAATACAGCATAGAGGAAGAACGCGAAAAAATATTTGATAAATGGGAAGTTGTATATTTAGTTTTGATTGAATACTGTCTTGAGCAATGCCACTTCTCTTCATAGAAGACTTCGTAGAAGCGTGTAACATCCCGCGTGCGAAAGTATTAACAATTAATTTTTTTCATCAAAGGATATGCCACTTCTTCCATGAAGTACAACATGACATTACACTCGTCTTCCGCGATGTACAACGTGACCGTGAGTGCAATGGGTAACATGTCGTCGATGCCCTACTCCGATGATTACAACATGTCTTCAGGGTCCATGGATGCATCGCCTCACGTGGGCCCCTCCCCATCTAGTTCCGGTATGGCGTACACGCCGAGCGCAAACGTCACGCCAATGCACTACTCTTCTACTCCATGGCCTGCACCGAGTTCTTCAGTGTCTGAGCCTTTCCATTGTCCGAATGTGTCTTGTTGGGTGGAGATTGAGTGCATGTCCCGTGAGTAAAAATTATCAATAATTCTAGTCTGGAATTCTTGTTAATTTGAAACTCTTCGTTGGTTAAGATGAGCTTAACATTTTGTAGATTACATAGTTTTCATGTCCTTTGAGTAGATCCAAACTATGCTTTTTTTGCTCAATTTTCAGATACCCATAGCATCTCAAAGACCTCTTATGTATCAACATCATCTGTTACACCAACAGTTTGCTCAGGGGTCGTAGACTGCAATGGTACGTGCTGCATTAATTAAGCATATCAAAAATGCCACTAATATTCGATTTGTTATACCAACCTATAGGCTGCCTACGTAATTTCTACCTTTATCCCAAATTACAAGTCATGAGATTATACTTCTTGATAATAATAGACTATGTGGCCGATTTTCCTAAGCTCTAAGCTCGCGATTTGGATTATCCAAATTCAAACTGACCTACAAGCTCGTGATAATGGCGAACTGGTTCATATACTACCAGTCGAAGTTTTCTCTTGCTGCCAACAACGCCGGGTGTAAGTGATGTGTTTCTCCTTTCTTGTAGACGTTTGTGGTGGTAGCGCTGAAGAGGATTGTGGCATATGTTATGGGGTAAGAAAAGAGACATTTCTGATTGCCCATGATCCTTTGTTTTAGTTTTCAATAGTTGTAACACACGCAGTAAACTACATGATGCAAAATCATGAGCAATCCTTTTCGAGCCCTCCCCCCCATAAGAGAGCCATGAATTATCAAAGGGAACTGAAGAGATCTTTCTTTCGACAAGGACATCATTTGAGGATATGTAATGTCTACTTTTATTTACCCCAGGTGAAATTGCATCATAAAAAACAAATTTCCATTAACATCCACTTAAAGAGAAATGTGGAGAAATGGAAGAGAATTTGGACAGCGTGAAGGCTTGGGTATGAAAACTCCCCTTGACCCTAGAATGAGTAGTGCTTTATAATTTCTACTTTCCTCTAATATCCACTCAAAGGGAGATACGGGGATAGACGATCCGAGAGACTGCATTGGAAATTGCGGAGGAAGTGCAACAAACTCGAGCGATACTTGCTTTAAATGCCTATCAGCTAGTGAAGATAACGTTTTTAAGGATTGTAACAATGACTGTCACGGGAATGCAGCCCTTGACGACTGCCATGTGTGCACCGGCGGTAATACGGGGAAAATGGCCAACCACTTAAAGGATGCATGCGGTATGTCACCTACCAAATTATAATCCTCTTTGTCTCCCTCTGTGATATATAAGACGACGAGGCGAGGAGAAGGTTCATTAATGCTGAGAGTAATATCAAACATAACTATCCCGCCGAAGATTGATGACCACTGCAGTTTCCTGATAAAATCAGCGTTGACTCTAATTTTGACGTTATTTTGCTGTCTCAAATCTAACAAAACCTTTTCGAAACAAAGATAGGCAAACTTTTTGTTTCTCTTCAATAATAAAAAGTATTACATCTTCGTGCGTTAGGATAATGGTTGGATAATGACATATTTAAGAAAATTATTGCGCATAACTGAAAATGAACTAAGACATAGAGAGAAAGTAGGGTTAACGTTTACTTCAAAATGAAATAGAAATGAAACGAAGAGTGATTTACTTTGCAAAAAACTGCAAAGTTTGTATCCCAACGAGGTCAACTTAAGCCTCATTCCTGTTCGGATGCTTCTCAACAAAGCACACAACTGGTAAATTAGCTTGTTTCATGTAGCACTGCAACAAATTTCATGGTCTATTCTACTCTTTTTTTACTGCCTACAATCTTAAACTAACAGGAGTGTGTAATGGGACCAACTCGACATGTATAGGATGCGACGGTGTACCAAACAGTGGTTTGGTGCTTGACGCATGCGGTAAATGCGGAGGGGACGGAACAACGTGCACGGCTCTCACGACAACTGTTCCACAAACCATTGCGAGCGGCCAACCTAAAGTCTGGGTAATTGGTGCTGGATTTAATGCAGGAATCGCGACTGTGTGTGTATTGTACAACCCAGATAGTGGAGTAGAGGTTGTTAATACTACAGGTATAAAAAAATTCTTAGTTTGTGTAAAAACTGAAAGTTCCTACATAATACATAATATCATCGATCCCGCAATCACGTAATTTGTTGAAAACGGGGTAAATATTTGTGTGCTTTTTCTTCCTGTTAATGAATACACTCACATGGGAAAAAAACTTAGTGATCAGGGCCAAGAAAAAGAGAAAAATTGCTCTTAATTCACGTACCTGGCCTAAATATTGCGTTTTATTTAATGATGTCATTTGAATGGACCGGGAAGTTAATCTCTTGGTTGAAAGAATATATAGAAATTAATTTTAGTTAGGTAGGTTGAGCTCTTGTAAATGTGTTACCACCGTAAAGAGAAACTCTTTTCATGGTCTTGGAGAGAAAAAAGTTAAAAAGGTCTTTTTTTTTACATTTGTAAACTGAAGGATCCCCAACGACCATTATGAAACCCTTTAAGTAGAGATCTCCTAACGCAAGCATATTGATTCACTTTCCACCCTGAGGAATCTTTGTGATTAATGGATTCTTATATCCTTAAAATTCTCTTTCAAGCCACCCAAAGAAATCTCACCCATGCTCACTGCGTTTTTCAACCATGGACCAATTACACCGCGGGAAAATACAACCTTTCAGTGATACTCGTCCACGATGGTGGGGAACAGATTAAACTCAACGAGTCAGTTCCAATATATTATTACAATAGCTCAAACCTCGCTCTAAGGAATGTCACACCATATGAAATTCTTAAGGACGACTTACCGGAATACGTGACACTAGTTGGCAATGGCTTCTTTGACTGGAAAGAGACCCTGTGTTATTTCAATTCCAGCGAAAGCAAAGACATCATCTTTTTAAACGAAACTCATCTTAAATGCAAAGTAAGTGTTTGTACCGAAGGGGAGGGTCAGAATGCCCATTGTTTCGCCTAATGGTGAAAATCAGTTATTTTGAAATCACATGGTTTCACTCACAAAGAGATTCTTTCCTTCAGCAAAGACTCTGATCAAGGGTGGTCACCTCTGATCGCCTTGCACATTTTCCTGCTGACAGCGATCTTTTAAATCATTTAGCAAGCCTCATGAACAGTGCAGTCAGTCAAAATAATTATTGTTATGCTTTGCTAAGCTCATAAGTGAAACGGCGCCATTAAAAGAATCATCGTACACCGACACATTCGGTTAAAGGAGCCATGATTGTCATTACATAATGAAAACAGCGAAAGATATATTTGTCACCGTATTATGCTGAATAGCTTGCAACGCCTGAAATCAAATAAGTACTTCTCTGATTTCTGAACACCACAATTAAAAAAAAACAAACAGAAGGTGACACATTTCGCTCCATCAAACTCTATGCCTTAACTTTAATTCGTAGGCACCAGCAGCTGATACCTCGACCCGGTTCGACGTGTCTCTTTCCATGGATGGTGGACTCAACACCGTTGGTAGCGCTATCCTGACAGCCTATGCACGCGCACCCAACGTCACCACTGTGAAGTTCAGTGACACAGCCACCATGATACTAGTTCTTTTCGACATCGATATTGACATTGCCAATGACGATGAAACTTGCGAAAATTTCTTTACCGCAGCAGTAGTTGTTACTTTTGGAATTGACGCAGAATGCTACTTAAGCAGCTGGCGAGAGGTAACTATTCTCCTTGGAGCCGACGCAAATGTTACCACTGGCGACAGTTTGTTTTTTAAGGATAACGTTTTCCAAGCCTACGGAGAAACATATAGTGAGTTTTACAGTGGTTCAGTTCCAGTCCAGGGGCCTGATGATCCCCTACGGCCCACACCCTTAATCACAGGTAAATTCAGTTGTGTTGTTTAAGGAGACCTCACATTGAATGATGATAAAGAGGTTTATTACAAAGAATTAATGTTGGTTTCGACGTAATTTTTGTAATTACTTTAAAGGACAGGGTGTTTCAAGTGTGTTTGTGAATTTAAGCATGTGACCTCAATAACTATAGGCTGTTAGGCAAATTATATATTTTTTTGTTGTTAAGGCTCAAATGCTGTAGAATTTCCAAGTTGATTTACGCCCAGGATTCACCTTCAAACTTAACTACTTGTTCTTGTAGTTTCCGCACACAGATCACTTTAATTTAGTATATACCACACAGCCATTTTCTCGTGCGCTGATTTGCTAGTTCGGAGGTGAATAGCAAGTACTAGTTACCTTTCGTGTAGCCGAAGAGACATGTTTGCGTTCCTTGCACCAGAAAATATTGTATTCGTTGCAGTAAGTAATTAGTTAAAATCATCTTTTTGTTTTATATTATCTCCCTTTGTTAGCATATACTAAAAAAATTTAACCTGGTCACCTCCACTTCGCTGAATGGTTTTGAATGGTATTCAACTTTAGCTGGTTAACATTAATATTACATTTCAAACAGGATCAGCCTCGTACAAGGATAATTTTCATACAGAGAGTACGAGTTCTGTTCAGTTTTTCTTTTTCTCGTTAGTTAATGAGTTACTGTCTCTCTTTTTGTAAGGTCCTGAAGTTCTTTCCTCCTGCGGAAATCTCTCTCTCTCTGGATCCCAGTCCTACGGTGGTGGTGGCCGGCCACTCAACTTTAATTGGTCCGTCACATGGTCTGATGACAATGACGTAGCAGACATTACAACTGTCCTCAATGCGCTGAGTTCAGATGATGATAGCGTGAAGATCTATGGGGGATTATTTGACTCAGGGAAAACATACGTGTTTAAGCTTAGAGTGGCAAACTTCCTTAATCGGGCAGATTTTCAAGAAACGACCCATACAGTAACTAAAAATTCTGATCCCGTCCCAGCCTTAACGCTGAGTTCAAGCATCGATCTAATAGACGGGGAGGTTTATGTATCGGAGGAATTTTCTATCAAAACAAACGCAATTGTAAGTAAATCCATGATGTTCACATTAAAAGCGGTCGATTCTTCATCTCCTTCCTCATCCTTTTCTTTCCTTCTTTACCCTTCCTCCACATCTTCCTTTTTCTTCTTTCCCTCTCTCCTATTTCCGTATTCTGCTAGTACTTTTTCATTCTTTACGTTCTCCATTCTCCCTTTTCCCTTCTAATTCTTCAATTTTTCTTTCTTTTCCTCCTCATTTCCGTCCCATCCTCTGCATCCCCTTCCTGCTCCTTCTTTTGCCCTCTCCTATTTACATAATTGCAAATGAGTTTCATTATCAGGTCTACGTAAGAGCTAATAACATCTTTCACTTTTTTTTCTACAAACACTTCTTCAATAGATTCTACTAAGCTTCTGTGGTATTCCTTTCAGGAATAAGAGCCTCTCTCTTTTTTCAACTAAAACCCCTTGGACATTATTTGATGAGGGGATGCCTCATTCCTCCACTAGGAGCAGTGAAATAATCACTTAGATTTCCATCACTCAATCTAAGTTGTCGTGTGAGGGACATCGTACATTAGCACTTTCTTTTGTTAACCTACGATAATACAATTCTTAATCTACAGGTAGCACCTTGTGTCAACAACATTAGAATGACCTTTTCATGGATAGTAACATGTACCAACCCAAACGCAGAACAAAAGGTGCGAGACAGTGCTTCGTTTCAGAACACGAAAAACAAGCCCGCTCTCAAATTAAGTCGCGGAATACTGACAGCGGATGTCAATTGCACATTCAACGTAACTGGAAGTATGAGCTATGATGCAAATATTAAGAGCTCCGTCAGCGTGGTCATTAGGGCTTTGGCCACTCCACTCGATCCATATATATCTGGAGGTGAGGAATGTTTCATTGAACTTTTCCGGCTCCTATTGTCATTTCTTGATGTCTATTTGTACTTTCTTTCTGAGAATCGTTTTAAGCGCGAATATTTTTACAAAGCATACCCAAGGATTTTTAATTTGAAGTATTCGATGACAAATTCGGTTGGCAACAAGGTGGAGTTCTGAAGATGACGTAAAATAAATCAAACAAACAGGATAAACTATTCCGGCGACGCATTTTTAAACTTTATCCCTACCCCTTTTTTAGGTGATCGACAAATAGGTCTTGAAAGTGGGTCGGTAGAGCTCGACGCTGAGACGTTGACAGTGGATCCTGATGATCTTGACGATTCCGACGGAAACTCTTTTAAATGTGACTGGAGCTGTAAAGATGGTGATACACCCTGCCGCTCAACTTTGGACAAAGAAATTATATTATCTGCTAATTCTCCATGTATAACCGCAGTACAGAGCAAACACTTTGCAGCAGGAAAATCTTACATAATCAGGTATGGGTAACAATCATCTTCATCATTAACATTGCTAATGAAACTTAGAGCTTTGTAATTCTGTGAAGGGAGTCTAACTGACGCTAAATGGTAGGATCTGGGCTCAGGCTACTATTTATTGCTCGAAGAGCCACATGGCTAAGTCATGGTCACGATTAATTTCCAAGAAGTACCAAAGATGGCCTTCTGTGGTTCCTACTGCATCCCCTCTTGCCAGTGGTAAACCAAAGATCACTTCTTTCTCCATATCTCAATAACCTATGCACTAATTTCGAGCAAATAGTCTTTGGAGATGATTATGACCTGATTAAACAACTTCTGTGTACTTTGTGTGGTGCTGGGTCAAATCATATAAGAACATAGAGCGGGAAAACAAAATTGGTTGGGTTGTAAGTTCCCTAGATATAACTAAAATGCACAGTTGTACGAAATACTTTTGCCATAGCTGATGACCTTTTCACCACGAGACACTGCATTCAACAGACATCTCGCTTGGTAAACTTCCCATGGTAAATACCCATAGACTCTTCAAAAAGGGTCACCGGAAGCGCCTGTAACATTTTCGCAAAAGTGATTTGGTGCCCTAAGTAAAAGGGAAAATGTTGATGCTTTGTTTCGTTACGTTCTCGTTCCCACCACCGATGTGGTGGTGACGTAGTGTATTTTTCTGCAAACCACTTTATCATCAACGGGGTAAGTTTCGAAAGAAACTGTGTGGCTGTGTCGGTGGGAGAGTATAACTGGGTAATTCAGTATTATCAACTGAGTCGATAACGTAAGTTGGCCTTTGTAAAGAATTTAAAAGCCGACGTTTCGAGCGTTAGCCCTTCGTCAGAGCGATTGGAAGGGCTAACGAGGAGTAAACGCTCGAGACGTTTGCTTTTAAATTCTTGCGGTGGCCAATTTACATTATCAACTCAGTTGACAATATTAAATTACACTTTTTTATCACATCGCTTCTAGCCACCCAAGAATGTAACTTAGTACCATTGACCTGTCAGTGAAACAAGACGAAATCCCAGGGCGCCTCATCCAGGGGTAGCAGTAATAATCCCAGTTGTAAATTGTGATTAGCTGCCCTTTTTTCTTCATAATTGATGGTCCTTTACTAAAATTTTTACTCTTATTTACCAGCGTGACTGTGAGCAAAGGATCACGATCAGCCTCTGCCTCTATAACGCTGACCGTGGTGGAAGGAAACCCGCCCGCTGTGTGGGTGGATTTAGCGCAGATGAAGGTCAAAGCAAGTGAAAGAGTAAAATTGGATGGATACTATAACTCAAGCGCCGAGCCTGAAAAAGTAGAATGGAGTTGCCCTCCGGCACAAGGTGCGTTCAGAATAAACGATAAATTGTTTTGCCATAAAACATCCAGACTAAGGATTCCACTGCATTCAGAAGCAAAGTAAGAAACTCTCACCTGTTTGTCTTTTAGGTTTTTCCACTGTTGACTTGACCAAATACACACTCGATGAAGAATACTACAGTGAAGGTATATCATTTGCAATGATGGTTATCCCCCAGTATGTTCTGAAACCGGGCAGTAAATATCGATGTAAGTTGACAGTGAGAAAAGGAAGTAACGAGGGTGCAGCATTCGTGGTAGTGGAGGTGAGAACTGGGCCCAGTTCCGGTACGTTCGAAGTTTCTCCCACTTCTGTGCAAGCACTGGATCTCGTAACTATGACAGGTGAGAAACAAAAAGCGCAATTATTCAGTATTATCCCTTTTAATTATTGTTTCTTCCCAAATTTTCGTATGGGAGCGGTCAAAAAGAAGTCAGCATATTTGACTGACCTTGGGATACTGACTTATCAAAAGCTTAAGACAGACCGAGCACTCTCAAGAGGGCTCAATAACTGCTGGCACCTTACTTTACCAATGCATTGCAACTTCCTCGTTACGCTTGGAGAATATTACTTAGAACTTTGTGCCAATACCGTCCAGGAAAACCTGACTAAGAGGTTCCCATGAACAAAACATCTATAAGTTGAACCAAAAACAACGCGGAACTTGGTGATGACGTCTACTCGGGTGATCGAAACATCAATTACTGCCTACGAAACATATTTTTTCAGGAAAACCACACCCACACCCAGACGATCAGACTTTCTTACTATTTACTAAGTTCTGGTTCTCAAATTTATAGCAAAGCAATGGACAACTGATTCAGACGCTGGCCCACTTCGATATTCATTTGGTGAACTAATTAGTGCAGACATCTGCGAGACATATGGGCCTCCATCTTCCACACCAGAACAGGAAGACATCGTTCCGCCAGGATCTGGTCCAAATAATGTCCTCACTTTATGCTGTGTGATTGAGGATAAGTTCGGATCGTATGCTATTAAAACGTTCAATATCACTTCTAGCCCGCCGGATCCGGCAGACCTAGACCCCGCTGCTCTGGGTAACTTGTTCGAAAATGCCATTGACGATAAGTTACTGAGTGGAGACACAGATAAAGCTATGGGAGCATTGATCAGTATAACAGGCACTGTTTTCGACGCCTCCAGTAACACCTCAGGTGAGCGAATGATCGTGGTCATAAGTGATAGTGCACCATCCAAGCGATGATGTACTAACCAATTATCTGAACTACTACATTAACTTGAGCAATGTTTCTCTTCTTTTTTTTTCCAGATGAGCTGAAGCGCAATATCTCTCAAAAAGCACAAGCAGCTCTTCTGCAAATCCTAGATGCTACTGAAGTTGACCAAGATAATGCAGCTCCTATGTTGACCGCTTTAGTCCAAACAGACCCAAAAGCTGCCGGTAACAGGTAAACACTGAAGCATTCCGACGATTCCTAAAGTTGAAAATGTTCGTTAATGTAGGAATGTGTAGTTTAAATTAAGGCATTTTGGGGGTTCTTGTTGCTACATTCGAATTTTCGCTGTTTTAAGTGCTTTATTTGCTTGACGCTTTAGACTTTGTATAAGCGCAAGATTGGAGGTTATCTCTACATTATCCGTTAGAGCTTCGGACAGATTTAATGAATGTAACCGAAGAAGTTACAATTCATATACCCAACGTTTCGACACTCCTGTCTAGTGCCTTCATCAGGGGTGATCTAAACGTTGCAACAAGAGGTCCTTTTTTTACTATCACTAATTAGATCACCCCTGATGAAGGCACTAGAGGAGTGTTGAAACGTTGGGTCTATGAACTGTAACTTCTTCGGTCACATTCATTAAATCTGTAAACCAGAGTAGCATCAAACTAAGTCTGATTGTCCACCAGGTTGCCGTGTGAACTTTGATATAAGATAGAAATAGTTCATAACTATTTGTCAACAAGAGCGACATATACCGAGCTTGGTTTAGGTATCACGGTAACTTGTCATGTCAACCTAACTGCAAACATATTTAATAGTGACCACGAAAAGGTCTCTAAACATTTCTTTTTATTACCAATGTGTTATGATTTTCAGTTTATCGGTTAGGAATGCTTATGCCCTTCGTCCAAAGTTCAGGTTCTCTAAAACTTTGCTCTCCCTCGTCAGTTACTACTATTGGCAATTACCTTGACCGCCATCAACCCTTAAAGGTGGACAATAAAAATGCTAATCTAATCTCTCCTTTCCTTTTTATGTATTTAGCTCCGGCGTGGCTTATGCAGCAGTGAAGATTTTGGATGGGTATGGCGAAAAACCCATTCCCATTGAAAATGCAGACAAATTTCTCGATTTTATCAGCGACCTTGCTGGTGACTTTGTAGAAAACGACACCAGCTTACAAGAGGTAGGTCAGGATGCAGGTCCAACATTGCTTTCTGATACTCTCAAACATTCAGGGGAAAAAGGGATAATTGTCGGGCAAATTCGGAACAATCGAACCCTATTGAAGGCACATCTACAAGAAGCTAGTCAGGGCCTGTTTAGTAGTAAGAGTGGTGTAAATGGCCCTTGATCGAAAGGAAAAAATTAACCAGAGCACGAAGTGGGATCGATAAATCAACTTGTACGCCCCGTGCACAAGTTCACCGTCCGTGCAGTAATTTCACTTTTCACACTCCTTCCACAAGCCACACAGTTCAACTGACAGAAACTTTCTCTTGATGGAAGTTAGGTTCGGCTGCAAGTACGGGATTTAAGATAAGTTTAGTACTTAGTGGCGCTCGAACCTCCTCTCATTGAATGTGAGAACAACGTTTCATGCGAGGGGTTGTTGTTAGATACATGTAATACTCTCCTCGAATTTGGCGATCGTTTTCTACACAATCCTAATTTCTTGCATCGATGCACTACCCCGTTTTGCTCATTGAAAGATATGCGTTTTGAGCTTTCATTTCTTTTACTTACAGAACGTGGAAGCAGCGTTTGATTCTCTTGCGAATAATTTCGCAAATAATCTTTTCCTTAACGACGAGAAGGAAATATTCAATGAAAATCTGGGGTCAGTTAAGGTTAAATTAACAGACTTGAAGAGTGTAATGAAGGCAAACAACAGACCAGGTGCCCCCAGTTTTAATCCTGGCCCGTCACTGGTGAACCTCTTCAGTGGTCCAAGAAAGTGCCAGGGCGGGAAGACATGCCAGGGAGTAGTTGTGCAAGTGGTTCAGTACAAGAAGGATTTGATCGCAGTGGATAAAGATAAGCAGGATGACCAAGTTGATGTTGATCATACCAAGGTGAAGCTATCCACTATGCCTTCCGGCTGTAATCAGTTCAGGGTCACTGGATCACCTAGCCTTAAACACATAGCTGAAATTCGCTGCTTGACGCGGCTTTTTTGCCATCGTAACTCAAAAGAAGTTAAACTGAAATCAAATGTAACCTTGTCCCTTGTGTTACCTACACTTTCGATCATTAACGAGTAATTCCTTTGTGCTTGGATTGGTTCATTATGACAACTTTGATGCGCTCCAACGAGGACTCCACCATCATATGAAGCAGAACTGTTTTGCATTCAGTTCACCCGTTTTAACCTCATGCTTACTTTGTGTCTTACAGGTTCTTGGCATTGACTTAAAAGACCCAGTTTCGAAAAACCCACTTCCAGTTACAAACCTTCCACAACCTCTTACCCTGACATTCACTGTGTCAGCCCTGCCGGTCGGTAAACAACGTGGCTGTAACTACTTTAAAAAAGATACAAAAACATGGGACAAGAAAGGAATGACCGCCGTGGATGGAGGAAATAACACATTGAATTGTCTTTCAACTCACGCGACATTCTTTGCTCCGTCCAATGATGCAAGTAATGCGACAAACGCCACCACGGCACCACCAACTACGGGACCACCAACTGTTGGAGGTAAAAATAGGTTTGCTCTCCCCTCTCTCCCCCCCCCCCCCCCCTTACCCCTAAAACGAAAAAACGTCGCGCACAAGTCGTTTCCAGTTCCATTTAGGATCTCATCCACCTGCTTTTCCTAGGGTGGTAGGGTGACATCAGTAATCTTGTATGTCCGGAGGTGAATTACAGTGCTAAAGGCCTGTTCATATGGAGTTGAGGAAGGTGAGGTAACCCGATTTGGTACGGTAGCCGGCCAGTTCACATAATCTCTAAAGTATCTGGATAACGTTTTCTTGATGGGTGGGGTAACCAGCCATTGCTGGTTAGGGTAACCCTGTCGGCCAGGGTCACAATTCGTCATGTGAATGTCTCAAGGAGGGGTAACCCGCTTAGCCGGGGTCGCTTTCATGTTACATTTGCAAGCGCGTCAGAACCTCTCCCTGGAATCTCGGGGTTGTAAGGTTGTATGTAAACGCAACCTGTTTTTCGACCACGACTAGGCGAGTTACCTAACCTCCCTGGGGTCTCCACCTTCAAGTAAACAACCCCTAAGTCGCGTGCTTATCGAATTAAACACCGCGGTGAAATCAGACAAGGAATTTTAACTTAAGACCACTCCTTTAGCAACGTTCACATCAGATCGATCATTGGTTTGTATGTAAATTATTCTCTCTTGTTTATAAGTGAAGAAATCTCTCCATTTTCTCATTATTTGACGTTAAACAGTTTAACTTTCTTGTTTTGCAGCGACACCAACAGAAAAAGAGGACAAAAACATGACAGCAGCCATCGTGGGCGGCGTAATAGGTGGCCTTGTGTTTATCGCTCTCGTCGTTGGTGTTATATTGTATCTTAACAAGAATAAGAATAAAAACTCAGGGAGGATCTCCCCCGAGGATCCATCTCATTAAGAAGGGAAGAAATATCTATAGGTCCTACCATTCACTAAAGAACACGCAAACTATTTTGTTAAAATATTTCTTGCAAAAAAATTGATCATTGCGAAACAACTGCAACCCCGGACAGATTCGCTATCGTTGTACAAAGTGTGAACTGTTAACTTTGAACCACTGAAGAAGCGAAAATTCTGGCGCATCTACGCGAGTCTTTGAATCTGGTTTGAAAGATTTTGAATGAGGAACTTGTCCAGGAAAATCTTAACAACGACGAAAATCTGCTAGTATAGATTATGTGATTAGGACATTGCTCTGCTGGATCCGTCAATAGGATCCAGTATGAATTACGAAAAGATGAAGTAAGAGCAAATGGACAAAACTAACTAGCGTTTTGGGCAGTTTTTTTTCAGTCTTTTCAAAACATTTTTTTATTAATTTTTAGGTACATGATACATATTTCATTTCCGATTTCTTTGAGGCAACTAATTCTAAAATTTTCCTCACTAACTAGCATTTTTAGTTTGGTTTACATTCGTAATTGATATTCAGAAAAGATCACCAGAGTCATCTTTGACGATGGCAAGCATTCGCCTAACTCTGTAAATAGTTTAATGTGTGTATCATTTTAAACACATTTTTAATCACTTGTAGTTCAAGGCTTTTGAGCTGTTTTGAGCTATGATGCAGTAAGTCATGGGGGAGGGGGGGGGGGGGGGGAGGCATGCATAAAATATGTTTCCATGGGGTCAGTGACCTCTAGTGAAACAAGGCCTAGAAAGGATTGTAAATTAGAAAAAAGAAAAAAATGAAACAGTTATGTGTTGTCAAATGTAGCATTTGCACAGAAGTACAGATGCCTCCGTTGAAAACATTTTTGATAGGGACTGGTCGCCTGGGAGGGAGGATTTTGGATGTATCCCCCTTATACTCTGTCGGCGACAACTGATTCTCCCCTCCTCCCCCCCCCATAAAAACTATGTGTACCCCCCCCCCCTTCGACAACAAATAACGACTAGTTCCTCATATGCTGATGGCTTTAGTTAGGATTTTACTGGGAGGGTTTTTTAGTGGTGTATACAAGAGAAGTAAAGTCGTTTCGATTACCCGCTTTACACGCAATCACCCTCAAACCCAACAAGCGCTTATCGAGTGATCATAAGTTTGAAGTTTAATAGACATGTACCCTGTGTGTAAAATAATGTAGGAAAACATTTGCAATAAATTTTTCATAATGTGGTTTTTTCTCTGTGATATTTTTTCACCGTATAGCTTTGTTGGAATGGCCGTGATACGAACTGTAACATTCATGGAAGGGTAAAGCAAAGGGACTGAACCGTTCCAGACACCACAAATATTTTTTGCCTTTCACAAAAACCGAATGTGAAATCGTGATACTCACTGTGTTCTGTGAGATTCCAGACTGACCTGACCTTCTGAAAATCGTCCTAAGTTGTGCTAAAATAAGACAAAGGCGTTGGTAGTTTTAAAATTGCTTATTTTTCTTGCCACTCACCATGACGTAACGTTCTTCGGGCCAAAACAAGGCTGCACTCGAATTCGAGTATCAATTCGGACTTAGGTGCGACCTAAATTCAACACAGTGGCCTATTGTCAACGCAGTCGTTTGTAAATTGTGCGCTGCGCTTCCTACCATTTGAGTTGAATTCTGGGACGTCTGCGAGTGCCGCCAGAATAAAGAGTTGGTTTCGAAATGGCGGCGTCCTTTTTTTTTCCTAAGAAATATACGGTTGATATCTGGAACGTGAAATGAGGCTTGTTGCTCTTTCATTTCAACATTCACTTTTTAATGTGAGAAAATTTTTTTTTTTTTTTGGGGGGGGGGGGGGGTTTAGAGAAGTCTTCTCCTTTAGAGTGGTTCAAACTATTGTATTTGATTTTAAAACAATTATTTCATAGTTCAAAGTCACCATGAAACATTTCAGTGTTCATTTGAGATCTTGAAATTAGTATCCAAACCATCTGTAAGTGATCTACGATATCATAAGTACCTCCAGATTTTAGTTTTGTTCTTGTGGAATATAATAATCCTTGAATTATTCGCTTTCATCTGACCATGCGTCGTTGTCGTAACTTTGTTTTCGGGATGCCGTTGATCGTCGTCGCATCTTCGTTTCGTCGTGTTGTCGCAACTAATGATGCAGTATTCAATCCAACAGGATTTCTCTCAAGTTAATTGCTGTTCGGGGTATGACAATAATAGTGTTTCTGGTTCGCTTTCTGTTGTCAAGATGCGATGATCAAAGAGAACAGCTTCAAGAGAAATCATTGTGCGTCTGTTGCTGTTGGTTAATAGGTGGGACTGAAACAAATTCAATGCTTAGTTACTTGATAGAAGATTAAAACTAACATGTTATGCCCGCTGATAGCAGGTGCCAAGCAGGTGAGTGGCCAGTTGATAAATAATGATATATGCCCCACGAGCTAATAACCACAAGTCAAATTAGGATACAAATTAGCATTTGAACCTAACTTTGTGATGCATTTTCGTTCAATCCATCGCTGAAGAACTTTCTCTTTTGTCAAACAGTTGCAGATTGTTTTTGCTCATGTGGCAAATCACAAATGGAAATCGCCCTCTGGTTGACACAGTCCTGTCTCCTTGCTGTGGCCTTATTCGTTTCTCTTGGGGAAGAGCTGGTTTTAGACCCAAAGGGAAACGAGTTGTTTCTGAATTCTATTCCCGTGCTAAATGAAAAAACTCGGCATCAGCCCAACATGTCACAATGTTACCTGTTGGAGAAGCCTGCAAAGTGGCAGATTTCATTCGGTGTTCTCACCGCCGCACATGCAACCTTCTTATTCGTGCTTTTTAGACTGCGAAGCCACAAGAAATCTCCCCAGCCTATTTTACCCGTTCTGTGTGTAACCAGCTGGTTGATGGTTGTGTTGCTTTTGTGCGCAAAGATCGTTATTTATCTAACACCGAATGTAACCACTGAAACAGGCCCAAAAGGTGACTATCTCACCATGATTCTTACTGTTGCCTGGGAGACAACCAGGGCCCATTTCGAAAAATGGTCCCAAAGGATTTTTCACGCTGTTGTGCAGTCGATACAGCCTAGTAATTATATGCAAGATTTCATTCAATGGCAACTGAATAAAATTTACGTCTGCTTGCCTGAAGGTATGGCAATGGAAGAATTTGGACCGAGGATACCTCGAGCTACTTTCGTGTTAGTTATAACATACTGCATTTCTAGTGGTTACGTGATATTTCTTGTTTTAAATTACGAGGAGGACACCGTAAAAATGAACTGTGAGCAGTTCAACAGTAGACGTAAAAGATCTGCAAAGCATAGAGATTATGGATGTGAGAGTTTAGACCTGGAAGGGGAGGAAATGAGGCAAAGAAGAACCATAATGTGTAAATCGAAAAATTGCCTTCGGGGAAAAGAAAAATTTAGTGTTGCTTTTCTGGAAGAGAGTGACGAGGAATCTTTCGTATTCGGTTGGCGGTTGTAAAGGTTTTAAGAACTCGCAGAAGTTTTTTTGTCAGCAGAGCGATGAGTTACCGTGACGTCTTGTAAAAGACATCTCCGAAATGAGAATAGTTTACATTCACTAAGGTGAAAGGACGAGATGGAGAATATACACTAGTCAGAGGTTTCGTTTTTAGTAGAAGAGTAACAATTCTTTCTTTCCACTCACAAGACACTAGTGGCGTCGGAGCGTTTCAACATTTGACTAGAAAACGCTATTCATGGTGTATCGGTGCAAGCTGAAGACATTTCCGTATTCTTACTTGCAATGGGCACGCATGTAAAGAGATGATCCATACAGGCGAGCTGCGAACAAAGAAATTGCAGGAAATGAAAAAGAAACTTTTAAGAAAATTCAGGTCGAACCCGCGCGCCTCAGAGACCGATTAGACACTACGACCATCTGAGCTACGAAGCCACATGCTGAAAGCCAAGCAAACGTTTCTGGATTCCTCTTTCTCGTAAATGAATCTGATCATAATTAAATATTAAGATGGAATACATTTTCCTTGGAGAAATGCAGGACAGCGTAGGCATGCCGGACCCTGTGTGTGACGAGTTACAGCATCAAAGAAAAGGTGTTGTAGAGGCGGAATAATCTCCCAAAATTATCGCGATCTTTTATCTGGGAGCCCACTGCGCTTGACAGTGCTCTAGAGCGAGAACAAACTGAAAAATGCCTCAAGTTAACCGAACACAAGATATAAAGGGGCAAAACCTTTTAAAATATTACTTCAACAACCTTGTGAATTCGAGTTTTATTTTCCCCAAAGTTAATTACACGTATACGTAAGAAGAACCGTTTAAATACGTGTAGAGAGTATTTACTTCCAGCACAAACAGTCAACATAAAATTGCGGAGAAATAAATAGAGAGTGTGCAATGATCAAAAGATTTTTGCAGAAAGATACGGATCAATGTCAGAACCAAAACAACTGCGCACCTACCCTTCCCCTAACCCAACACTCACCCTAACTTGCTGTCAGTTGATTGTTGTTGCGTGAGGGGAGGGCTAGGTGCGCAGTTTCTTAGACACTGCCATCGATCCAGAGATACCATAGAGAAAATTCATCCGAGCTTCTGTGTAACATTGTGCACAAGGCATGATAAAAACAATCCAAGAACATTTGAAGTGGTAATCGTTAAAAAACTATATCTCCTCTAGTATAGTACTCTCTCTCTCTCTACTTCTCCAAGGTGTGAATTAAAAACGATTACTTTTTTTTTTAATTAAAATGAACTTTTAATATCAATGTAAAAAGAAAATAATAAAAACGCTTTGCGACCATACGGCAACGCACTTATAAAATCATCAACCTCTAGAGCAGCAGAATGAGAGGGAATAAAATTAAAAACACCGTCATGTGAATTCTTATAAAAAAAGCTTGACCGACATTACTCTTGGTATCCATCGGGAGAGCTTGCACGCGTTCGAAAGTTTTCGAATATCTTTCAGCCAGTCAGCAAATAGCAAGATCACACAAGTTGCTTGGCATCTATGAAAACCGCTGTCTCAGTCCAATTCTACCTAAATTCAATCTGTCATTTTGAGTAGAAGAAATTCTTGGAGAGGAAACGTTTCTTTAACAACTTATTATTTATCATTAATAAGCTAGTTTTAACAGTTATTTCTGACAAAACAGGGTGCACTCGCGAAATATGTCCCTTTCTAAAACGCAAGCACACTTTCATCCTTGTAACATCGCTATCGTCCTTACATACATGTATCTTCCATAATAAAATGCATCCGTCACTATTTTCGTCGAACTGTTCGTCTTGCGGCTCTTAGGTAGCATCGCAACATGAGAAGGCAAATATGACGTTCAAACCTCAAAAATTTCTCGACATCTTCACTGCTTGGACCGAATTCCTGAATCAACGGCATTCCCACGAAGCCACGCTGTCAGTTCGGCAGCAGAAGGACACTTCATCCTTACCCATACCACAGACATGTGGCAGGCACGTGGCTGGCAACCTAGACTTCACCGACGTTTCCCAGTTTTTCTCAATTGTCTTCAGTGGAGAAGAGGTAGTCACATTTTTCTATACACGTTTGAATGAATAACAGCAGGTACATGTGCGTAGACATCTCCAACCGGGTGAAGTCCGGACGAATAATAGTCGGGAATAAGACCAATGCTATGTTTCTCGATTCCATAAGATTGTCCTTGGAAAACTCCGTCACTCTGTAAAAAAAGTGTTTTAAAAGAATGGGTATCTGCCTAGGCCATTTTGGCATTCAATTAAAAAACCTCCCCGAGCCCGAAGGGAGTACTGTACACCTATATAAAATACATTGATGATACTGCCTGTCGTTGTATTAACCCTTTACACCCTAACATCAGAATGCATATTCTCCATACTGTTCTCCGTGCATTTCTAAGGAAGCTGACGAGGAGAATTTGTTTAACAATCAAGAGCTGCTTCTATTAGTGATCATCTCCTCTATTCTCCTGACTTTCGTGTTTGTTTCAGGGGTGATATTGTGAGGAGAAATTAGATGCCAGTCACTCTTAGTAGTTACAGGGTTAAATGCTTTGCGCGAGAGAAGAAAGATCAAAACTCTGGTTTACAACTCAACCTACCGATTCAGATGGAACATGATTCGTTTGAAGACAGCAATGTTATGTGGTGGTATATCTTGTAGAAGCTGCTTGAGCCGAGCTAAGCGGCTATTGGCATCAGCATCAACTGCACAGGAAGGATACACAAAAAAGTGAATATACATGAGGAACCATTTCTTTTAGGTGACACGGCCGGACGCAAATTCTTGAGAAGCGTAAGAAAAACTAGCATTTCCAATCGTGGGCAAATAAAGAAAATAACAGAAGTGTTCCCAAGGAGCAGAAAAATAAATATTCGGTAAAAAAATCTGCACAATGTATATGAGACTCCAAATTTTAAGCTCTATTATTATTAGTTTTTGCTACTACTTAACAGAGAAGGGTCTATAAGCCACCTCACAATACAATCGGTTCAGATTTTGTTCAACTTACCCATGGCATCATGGAATGAGCTCTGATAGGCTCCTGGGATTATTGGCTCTGGGAGGAGCTTTAGGAATGACTTGAAGGCACCTGTCACTGCATGGACCGTAACCCCTAGCTCGGCCAACTCTACGTTAGGATCTGGTACAGAGAAAAAGAAGGAGGCAACTTTCCCTTAAATTTTCGTACCAAAAAACCAGATGAACTTTTAATAAAGCTGATACCCAAGGTTGGAATTGTTTCCGGGCACTAAACAGTTCAAATCTTCGACCACACTTCCATACATTAAGAGGCCAAGTTTCTGGAGAAAATATGGTGCTGCTTCGGTGGGGGTTAATATAAGGTAATTTGGTTTTAACAACTGAGTTAATAATGTAAAGAGTTTCTTAAGGTAACGTAACGAGGGTTAGCCCCACGTCAGAGCCCTTCGTAAGTACACTCAGTGGAAAGGCTGACGCTCGACACATTAACTTTGAAAACTCCAATTTACACCGTTGTACATAGCAAACTGGTTTGCCTCCTGCCAATTAGGCTTCTTGATAACGTTTCGTTCGATTTGGATTCCTTTTTTGATTGACTGTAAACAAGTGGGAAAGCTAGGTGCACTTCTTCTACAATATAAATACTGCAATTTTCATTTGAGTTACTGTTATCAACTTAATAAAAACTCAACTACTTACTCTCTTCAACCTTCTGTTCAATGAGGTTTATGTCCGCTGCGTTACCATTCACTCTGTATATTCCCTCTACTTGCATTCCTTTAAGATGACGAGACAAAAAAATAAAAAATATAAATCACTTTACGCTGTGTGGAAACATAGCTTAATAGGCAAAAATGAATTTCTTAAAAGTCGAAGGACGGTTTATCCAATACACACCTTTTGAAAAATGCGGGCAAAGTCTACAAATGATACCAAAACACGTAACAATCTCATGTGATAGCTAATAAAAAACAGTCACAACGATTTACGGTTTACTGGGATTGCGTGACTCACCTGTGTTCTCTACAAATTCGATACATTTATCCAAGAATGCAGGGACAAGTGTTGTTGGATCGCAGATTGACTCAAGCGGTTGACCAAAGTAAGTGTAATTGCTGATATTCTTCTGTCTGCTCTGGAAAAATTTGTCAATCTTCTCCCTGTCCTTTCTCTTCTTCTTCTCTTCACGTTTCTGACGCTTCTCGTCTTCTCGCGATTTCTTTTCTTCTCGCTTCTTCTGCTTCTGAGCTTCGCGCTCCTCTCGACTCGGTTTCTTTCTAGATGACGACCAGGGCTATGACACGATACAAATATGATTTTAGACACTTTGGCTGCTAATGTTTGGAGGGTGAGTTAAAAAAAAAACAAAAACACAAAACAACGAAACAGAAACAAATGATCACCCAAGTAATTTAAACCTACGGCTTCCCGTTCACCTTAACCACTTAAACCCTAAGAGTGACCAACATCTCATTTCTCCTTACATAAATACTGCTGAATCATTTATTATGATCGTGAGAATTAAGGAAATAATCGCTAACCTGAGAAGCTTTGACTTTTACACGAATTCTCCTTGTCAGTACCAAAGGAAATGTGTAGAGTAGAGTTTGGAGAATATGCATGCTGAGGTTAGGGTGTAATTGGTTAACTTTCGTTTTGCCTTAGCTATTGGTCGTATCGGCTTTAGTCCAATTCAGAAGTTCGTATCAATTAACACAAATAAACAAAAAGATTCAAAAATACTCACCGATTTCCTTGGTTTATGACCGGGCGAACCTGGGTCATCCTCTGTTTCCTAAGATAAATGCATCAAAAATAGTTTAAAAGCGAACGGACAGAGCCTGGTACAGAGCACACCCACACTGTGTATTCGTTTGGTGTCTGTCCAAGAAGCCCATATAGACAGAACTAGGCCCAGTTTCTAAGCATGAAGCGACCATGAAATTTAGGACTAGTGTCAGTGTTTGAGCAACTGGGCACCTACCCCTTCCCTAAGCCAAAACAGTCCGCTGATAACAAGTTAGGGTTAAGTTGGGTGAGGGGAGAGGTAGGCGCAAAGTTGATCAGATAATGACATTGATCCGAATATTTCTACTTCCACTAGACAGGATGCCATAAACTGAACCGCTCAACCTTGTAAAAAGGTAGAGGGCTAAAGTAAGTCAAATGCTAGTAAACAAGTAACATATTTTGTGTACCTCTTCAGTGCCAGGATCTGACTGCCTCTGAGGTATGTCCAAGAGGGCGGGCTGAAGAGAACCAAACAGAACAAATTATTTCAAGACCTTCATATGTACAAGTCTTATTTTGTCCCAAACAACTTCTTTACAGCCTCAGGCTCTCATTACAAACAACAAGCAAACTGAGATTGCGAACTAAGATTTTCCATTTTCCCTTTTTCTAACTAGGTCGATTTAGTTGATGCTTACAACTAAACTTTCCTTGTGGAATGAATAATAAAGCGACAAAAAAAAAAAACAAAAAAAAAAAAAAGACATCTCTCATTACGACTTGTCCAGGTTGGCTTCCTATCACTGTAATAAGTTCACCCCATAGAGTATTTTCCTAATGCAAGGGTGATTTTTTTTTTTTTATAAAAACATGAGTTAAATGAGACTACTTTATTCTTTCACATTATTTCTCCCAGAAGTTTATCTCTAAACCTCGAATTCGCTTTCAGTCTAATTTTCTAAGTTCGCCACCGAAGAGGAAAGAAAGCCTTGGATAATAGTTTGTACTGCAATACCTAAAGTTGGAAAGTTTTCTCCCCTTCACCGAGCCGTTTACAACCCTCGTCCTTAAGAAAGCACTCTTACACCTGTACTTATATACACACCCTAGCCAGTCGTTTATTTTTTCCTCTGGCGTCTAACGTGCTGCCAAAGGAAGATTCGTCTTCTTGACTGGAGGACATAGTTCCACCTTTCCTTTGGTCTTTCTTGCCTTCCAAATAAAAATACATGAACCCAATAAATAAATTACCCCAAGGAATCAACTTATTTCTCAATCTTTGTTTCGTAATACAGTGGAACCCTGTTCCGGGAAGCACTCATAGGGCTTAAGAGTGCCCCTTTCTTCTTCAATGAAGGTAACGAATACAAAGGTCTTAGCAGTTTTTTTTGTTGTCGTTGTTGACTGCAGGCGGAAAGAAAGATTTGTGTCCTCGAGGAGAAGTGTCTCCAGATTAGTCCAAAAGAGGTTACACTCGACTATGAAGGCTTCTCATTCAGAGGATTAATAATAGTAATAGGTCGGAGTGGAGACCAATTCGGTCTGTAATCATACGAGTGATTCAGAAAATTGGACGAGCGAGAACTGGGAGTCAGATTTGTCAATCAGAAGTGTCATCATTAACTGAATCAAGCGATATGAAGTCCTGTTACCAATAAATTATAACCATAACAATTTCCGAGAGAAAAAAAACGTATTCATTGAATGAAGGCCTTATTATGCCAGTCTTTAAACACAACCATTACGATCTTGGACAAAGGCTAACTTAAAAGCCCCAGGCACAGCCTCCTATATTTTGGCAAAAACCCAGCTTAGGATTGTTTGCCAATGCTCAGCTAAGATTACTGTAACCAAATCTGTGATTGAAGGATTCCTTTCAGTTCACTCAGTGGGATTGGCTGATTGTAACTGTCTGATTACAGGTGTCGGAATGCAGCTGACTGTCCATTCGCACTGTCCGATTGCACATATATATTATGATTATCAGTGAAAAGTAACGCAGTTCATCCACCAAACACATTCGAGGAAAAACACCCTGCCCCACCCCGTGTGCCCACCTGATTTCCTTCCAGAAAACAGCTGTTTCTTGTGTACCTCTGTAGGTACGTTTGGCGTGGACGACTGACCACTTCGTGTAGTACTTCGAGATCGTCGGATGATATTTTTTTTCTTCGCCGGGCGCTCTTCAGTTCGAGGCAAAGTAGCCTCGTCCCCAGTTCCTTGATCAGACGTGGCGCTATCTCCTCGCTTTTCACGTCTTCCGTTTACTGGGCGACCAAAGGTGTCTAGAAAAAGCCACAAATATACTTCAAACCTGTTAACGCGCGAACAGAGAAAAGTGTATATCGACACCGTCTTCTGAAAGAGGGCGTTGTTTTTATAAAAGGATCGCAAGAATTGTTGGACAATTTCATTGACCTCCTTGAAATCAACCGATTACTGGGCAGACAGTTGAAGGTAATTAAGAGGTTATTTAGCATAAAACGGTATTCGAATAAAGAAATAAATCTCAGGACTTTAAGGCAAGAACAGATGGAAGAGACACACTCACCTCGCCTGGATTGTCTCTCCAGCGTACTAACGTCTTCAGCAGAATGCGCCAGCCTCAATGAAGCTTTAGCTGTCACCTTTGCATGCTGCTTTGGTTTCCTGTCTGAATCGCTGGGTTCCTCAACAACAGCAACAGCGTAAATAGTCTTCCGGGGTTTTACTGATATCTTCAGATTATTTTTTAATGCTTCCTGAACTTGAGCATACTCTGGGTCGCTAACATCCTGAAAGAATGAGAGTAACAAACACATTAATGATGTGCTGCGTCACGAGTCTACCTTCTGTCACGACAACACTCGTCACGTTAGTCTTGACCATCCTACAAGTAGTTCCCAAAAATTACAGAACGGACAAACATTGTAAACGTCACTCTTGGCACCCCCACCATGAAACATGTCAGTCCGCTCCACTCATTTTTTTTTTTGCGCAGGATCAAAGCGGGCAATCTCGGGCGAGAAAGATTGTGTGGCCAACCAGAACACAAGATTTGCTTCACCTTAACCACAAGCAATGCCAGCTTAATCGCATAATGCACATAATGAGCTATAGCTTGAAGACTGCGTGTTATTAACCCGCCTTCCATATTTACCTGCGTGTATTCTCACCATTCGCGACCAAGTGTTTTGCGCGAAGGCGTGAGTTACGCGAATCATAAGAGCTTTGCGCGAAGGCGTGAGTTACGCGAATCATAAGAGCTCTTACCTCGAGTAGCTACAATGCTATTTTGCTCGTAAGGTATAGTGTCATTAAAGTGAAATGAACTTGTATTGCAAAGCTCTCACCTCTTGCTGAGCCAGAGGTGCTCCCGCATCCGACTCCTTTCTGTGGAGATCAGGCACAGACGAGTGAGACTCATCCTGTCTTGCATTCATCTTCACCCATACGTCATGTTTCGGTGTGACCATTTTGTTGTTAAAGAAGTCTATCTTCTCTTTTACCTTCATATAGTATGGATCCTCCGCTGCTATAGAGGAAGGCCGGGGTTGTACGTCGGCTAAAGCAGCGTAGGGGTTTTCTTCTTTCAGGTTCTCATTCTTAAACGTGTTATAGCCCTCATCATCATTGCTCCTAAGAGTATCCGTTCTGGACTCCGCTGGAGGGATCATGGGTGGGACTACAGGTGGGAAATCCTCGCTTAAATCGTAATTCCTCTTCGGAAGGGGTGGTGGAACTTCGCGAGCCGTGGGAGGAGTCTCTCGGGCGGATTTTTGCGACTGCACCAAATTGTTGTTGGCGTAGAGGGTGTTCTCGATCAAGTTGACCTCACTGTCGTTCATGGTCAGATCTTTGGATTTCCTGAACGAGCGTTTTCGAGACAAGTCAACCTGAGCGTAAAGTTCCTCTGACTTGCCCTCTCTCTTCTGCCAGACATCACTGCTCTGCGGCGTACTATTGGGAACGCTATTCTGCTTTAGGCTCATAAAGAGGGCATTCGGCGTCGAAGTAGCGTAGGGCTGTAGATCGCCGCTTCCTCTGGAATTCCTCGCCTCACTGTTTTTCATCGCACCAAAAGGCCTCTTGACGGAATCAAACACTGCGTATGGATTGATTTCAGAGTCATCCAACGTCCCATTGGACATTCGATGGACTGACTTGGGGGAGGCTGGTTGCTCCTGCTGCTGGTCACTGAGGCTTCGTCTCCGGTTGAATTCGTCTTCGCAGTTCGCCGGCCTTTTCCTTGGCGGCTCCGGTAGAGGATCATGCTTTGAACGGATTGAATTGTTGTGTTGCTTCTGAGACAGGCGAAGTTGTTGTTCGGCCAAGAACTTCGAGTATGCTACCTCGCTCTCTCTTTTCTTTTCCCAAACTTGATTGAAAAACGCAGCGAACGCACCAGCTGAAAATAAAGAGCGAAAAGACGCTACGTTAGTCTCCCCAAACCCAGAAGTGAAATACAATCTAGAATTTCGACTATAAACAGTCCAGCAGAAACATGAGAAATGAGATATCACGCGAGCAACAGCTTCTCGGGAATAGTTAGAGATAGAATAATTCTCGGAGTGGCACTCTAACGAAGGGCTGACGCTCGAAGCGACAGCTTTAAAATCTCTTTGTAGTTGCTAATTTACATTTCCAACTCCGTTGATAAAACCAAATCATCTTGTAAAACCCCAACTGACCCAGCACCACAGTTTCTTGAGAAACTTACCCCTCTACACTAATTACGTTTCGGTTGTAGGGGGACAAGGCTATACTCTGTCTTGCAACTTGTTTCGCATTATTTTTTAATTTCATTTTTATTTTATTGCGACAAAAGCCGAAAAGAAACCTGCCCAGCACGGAGATGAACATGTCTCCTTCGCATAAATCGTTTCACAATGAAGAATTAGCTTCGTTGAAGGAAGCGCCAACGTAGTTTTCGTATTGATTACAACAACCTTCGTCGCTGCCACAAATTTCTAATGTGTGGCTCTACAAAAAAAAACAAAAAAAAGGCCTTCCTCTACGCAGCTTGTTTTGCAAAAGAGCAACAGAACTCCAAGGCTAGGCGCAAAATTGTTGCTAAGGGAACAGAGGCATTACACCATAGCAATACTCGTCGCTTAAAGCCTTTTTTTTTTAGTTTGTACGCTGGATTTGCTCTTCAAAAGCCGATTCGTTTTTTGATCGCA